AACTGCTGCTCAATTTCAACACCTTCAACTGATGGGACCATTGCTCAGTGGGAAGGGACATGTGCCTGAGCTGTGGGCAGGTGGATGGTGGCAATGCTCTCACATATTTCAAGCTGAGATGTGTTGCTCACAAAGAAGAACTCCCAGAGAGTATTAGGTGTAGGTTGGCAGGAGTCAAGGCTTAGGGACCCCAGAGTGTGTGTTGGGGTAACTGCTGGAGTCTAATCAGCTAAAATCGCATAGCTTGCCATTGAGAGCACTGTCTGGCAAGCTTTCATGTCACTTGTCCAGCTAAGACCACCCTACCCATTAAGGCTTTGGTTTGCAGGATTAACAGGAGCTGAGTGGAAGGATTCCCTGCCCCCAGTGACTGGTCTGTCCTTCCAGGTCCTGCTGATGAGGCAGTCTGGTTGTGCTGTCACCAGGCTCTGTGCTCATGCACCAGGCTCCGTGACCCCATCACTCCCACCCTCGCCCGACTCCACAGGCTCCCCATCCCTCAGAGGATAGAATTCAAGATCCTGATCCTCACTTTCAAAGCCATCCATGGCCTTGTCCTCTCCTACCTCTCTGATCTGCTGACTCTCTACCAACCTGCCTGCTCCCTCCGTTCAGCGGGCTCCAGTCTGCTCCATGCTTCCCACCCCACCCGCCCTTCCATCGGTGGCCGGGCTTTCAGCCCCTCTGCCCCACACTCTGGAACTCCATCCCTCAGCCCCTTCGTTTCCTCCCTTGCCTCCTTCAAGGCCGGTCTCAAGACCCTCCTCTTCGATCGTGCCTTCAGTCACCCTCCCACCTCTCTGCCTTCCTTCACCCCTACCCTACCCCTCTCCCATGCTTGGATCCTAACCCCTGACTATCCAGCGCCTTGGGATGTCCTCCCGATGTGAAAGGCGCTCTGTAAATGTAATTTTGTTGTTGTTGTTGTAGGAGGATGTTATCGTCCTGTGATTTTATTGGAAGAGAGAAGGGAGTTTCTCCGGTGTCCTAGCTGACAGTCATCCTGTAGTGCTGTAGTTATTCAGTGGGAGAATTGTTGAAATTCAGTGTGCAGCATAAGTTAAACATTCCCCAACACTCCTTTCTCTGCAGCAAACATTCCAGCAACAAGCTTGTGCCTTCAGTCGACCTTTCAGGGCAGCTGTTAATGTCAGCACCGTACCTCGCAACTGTGAAAAGAACAGAATTGTAATCAGTCAACTCGCTTCTCTTCAAAGTTTTATTTTCTGCCCTTCATCTCCCCCAACCCACTACCTCTGCCCCACTGTCCCAACTCATTCCCTCTGCCCCTCTCCCAAACCCACTCTCTCTGCCCTCTATCTCAACCCACTTCCTTTGCTCCTCTCCCTCAACTCATTCGCTCTGTCCCTCTATCTCAACCCACTCCCTCTGCTCCTCTCCCCCAACCCATTCCCTTTGCCCCTCTCCCCCAACCCATTCCCTCTGCCCATCTATCCCAAGCCACTCCCTATGCCCCTCTACCCCAACCCACTCTCTCTTCCTTCCTTACCCCATCCCACTTCCGCTCGACCCCACTACCCCCAACCCACTTCCTCTCCCTTCCTCTCCCCCAACTCACTCCCTCTGCCCCTCTACCCCATCCCACCCCCTCTCCCTTCCTCGACCCCAACCCTCTCCCTTCCTCTACCCCAACCCACTACCTCGCCCGAGTGACTGTTAGATTTAAGTGTGAGCCATGATGGCGAGTGTTGACAGACCCCACACACTCTGGGGAGAGGCATCGTAGCTGAGCCCAATCCTATACTCGCTCGACCCCCAACTCCCGCACATATACATACACCCACGTACACATGCACATACATACACACCCACTCTTTGGGTCGGCAGCCAGATATATGATACGGGCAGAAACCGATCACCATGAGTAAGACTGAGAATTCCACGTATGTATGTCACCTACACATGGAAATTACCATATCTGAAATGGAATGTGTATTTCTCCCATGAGAGACGCATCCTGCTTATCTAATTCTGAGAGTTTCTCCCAGTATACTGGCCAACAATCCTCCAGATTAAATCGGTTATTTATTTCATGGCTGTTCGTGGGATATTACTGTCAGGCTTCACTGGCTCTCTGTCTCTTTCCCTGTTATTTGTTGTCATGTATAGTTTAGCTGCCACATTTGCCTACAAATAGATAGTAAGCGCTTTGAGATGTTGCAACAACATCATAAGGTATATTTACACATACTCACACTCATGCAAATATTTGCACACATCCTGAAGAATGATCTGAAACAAAGAACCATTGCATTTTCCCGCCTGTCTAAGCTTAACTGCTGCTCCGATCACAATAAGGAACTCAGCAAAGACTGAGGATAGAACTAGGATCGTCTTCCTACTCTAGATACATTGACTAATAATATAATAAAAATTATAATCCTTGTATTTGATATAATGCTTCATCATGTCTTCAAGACGTCTCAAAGCGCTTCACAGAATATATTGTTACACTGACTGTTATACCGTGTGTCACTGTGTTTGTCACTGTGTGTGTTATACCGTGTGTCACTCTCTGTGTCACTCGGTGTCATCCAGTGTCACTTGCAAGCGAGAGGACGCAGGTTTGATTCCCGGGCAGGGAAATGGCTGCTGCGTTTCGCCCACAAAATTTAGTCAACTTACTTTACAGCATATTCTGTGAAGCCCTTTGAGATGTCTCGAAGATGTGACAAGGCGCCATATCCAAAGCAAGGATTACTATTTTCATTGATGGATCGATGGATGGATCGATCGATCAATTGATCGAAGGAATTATTACCCCCGGAAAGCAATCCACCAATCGATTAATATCCAGGTTCCTCCTAACTGCGAGGTAAACAGAGTCGTGTGGAGCAAAACCTGCCTAAAGTTTCGCCCTGCCCAAGACCTGAACCCAGGACCTCTCGCTTGCGAGGTCGAATGCTCCAACCGATACGCTCCAGGACTCCAAGCCACCAGAGGAGTTCCAGCCGTTGCTTTGATTTGGTTGGGGCGCAGAGAGAGAGAGAGAGAGAGAGGGCAACTGGGAGATGAAGTGGCCCAGGCCACCTTATAATAATAATAATAATAATCCTTGCTTTTGATATAGCGCTTTTCACGTCGGGAGGACGTCCCAAAGCGCTTCACAGAACACACTGTAAAGTGAATTGACTGTATATTTGTGGGCGAACGCGGCAGCCAATTGCGCACAGCAATGTCCCACAAACAGTCGTGGATTGAAAATGACCAATTTATTATTGTTTTTGGTTTTTGGAGGGATTATTATTAGGAGTGTGGAGTAAGGAAACCTTCCCGATTGCATAGGTTGATGCCCTCAGAACCTTAGTTTGGGGCGGAGAGGACGGCAGACAGACCGACGCCTGCAAACGGTGCACCCGGGGCTTTCGTGGCGGTTTTTTGTGCAAAATATTTTCTCAGCGAAATCTCTCTTCCGTTTCCTCCGTCCGAACACCTGCCCCCGCGTCTGAGCAGCCGTTCACCGCGCGCGGGACAAGCGCCCCCCCCCCCCCCCACCCTCACCTAAAGGGCAAACCTCCCCCTTTTTCTCCGCAGCGCGCTCACAGGCCACACCGAGGCTGAGCCGTGCTTCATCAGAGTGCCATCCCCCACTGAACTATTTAATAATAATAATAATAATAATAATAATAATAATCCTTGCATTTGATATAGCGCTTTTCACGTCGGGAGGACGTCCCAAAGCGCTTCACAGAACACACTGTAAAGTGAATTGACCGTATATTTGTGGGCGAACGCGGCGGCCAATTGCGCACAGCAATGTCCTACAAACAGTCGTAGATTGAAAATGACCAATTTATTATTGTTTTTGGAGGGATTATTATTAGGTTCTGTGTGTGGTTTTGCTCCAGGAAATATTTTGCTGAGATATTGTTACCCTCTCGGCGAAGCGCAAGCAACAGTCGGTCGTGTCTGGGACAGGCGCTCCGTCCTTGACCTTCCAGCAACTTGGTGAGCAAAGTATGAGACGAAAAGAAATTCTGGATGGGGACGTGAGCCAATGATTGACAGCCGCCAGCGCCACCCCCGGCATTGAGTGACAGTGCGTGGCCCCGCCCCGGGCCGTGAGTGACAGGCGCTGACCCTGCCCCACAAGGGGCAGTGAGTGACAGGTTGGCCCCGCCCCGGGCAGTGAGTGAGGGCTTGGCCCCGCCCCTGGCAGTGAGTGACGGCTTGGCCCCGCCCCGGGCAGTGAGTGACGGCTTGGCCCCGCCCCGGGCAGTGAGTGACGGCTTGGCCCCGCCCCGGGCAGTGAGTGACGGCTTGGCCCCGCCCCGGGCAGTGAGTGACGGCTTGGCCACGCCCCGGGCAGTGAGTGACGGCTTGGCCCCGCCCCGGGCAGTGAGTGACAGGTTGGCCCTGTCCCGGGCAGTGAGTGACGGCTTGGCCCCGCCCCTGGCAGTGAGTGACGGCTTGGCCCCGGCCCGGGCAGTGAGTGACGGCTTGGCCCCGCCCCGGGCAGTGAGTGACGGCTTGGCCCCGCCCCGGGCAGTGAGTGACAGGTTGGCCCCGCCCCGGGCAGTGAGTGACGGCTTGGCCCCGCCCCGGGCAGTGAATGACAGGTTGGCCCCGCCCCAGCCAGTGAGTGACGGCTTGGCCCCGCCCCGGGCAGTGAGTGACAGGTTGGCCCCGCCCCGGCCAGTGAGTGACGGCTTGGCCCCGCCCCGGGCAGTGAGTGACAGGTTGGCCCCGCCCCCTTCCCGGCCAGTGAGCGATGGGTTGGCCCCGCCCTGGGCAGTGAGTGACAGGTTGGCCCCGCCCCGGGCAGTGAGTGACAGGTTAGCCCCGCCCTGGACAGTGAGTGACAGGTTGGCCCCGCCCCGGGCAGTGAGTGACAGGTTGGCCCCGCCCCGGACAGTGAGTGACAGGTTGGCCCCGCCCCGCCCCGGGCAGTGAGTGACAGGTTGGCCCCGCCCCGGGCAGTGAGTGACGGCTTGGCCCCGCCCCGGGCAGTGAGTGACAGGTTGGCCCCGCCCCGGGCAGTGAGTGACGGTTGGGGGAGACAGGCGCGCGGGCACGGACGGAGGGCCGAGGGTCAGAGGTGGTAACGGTGTCAGTGTGGGACGGCGCCGGGCCCCGGTGTGCAGGATGCCTGTCGGCGCGGTGGCGGCCGAGCCCCAGCTGGAGCCGCTGCTGCAAATAGACCCGAACCTGAAACCGTTCAGCGAGGAGCTGCGGAGGAGGTGAGACACGGCTCCCCCGACCCCCGGCCTCCGGCCCCCGGCCCCCGGCCTCCTGCCTCCTGCCTCCTGCAGCTACAGCCACAGGCCCCGAGTGCTGGGGGGGGGGGGGGAGTAGGGAGGAGTGAGTGAGGGCCGGGGGAGTAGGTGAGGGGGGGGGAGAGAGTAGGGGGGTGAGAGTGGGTGGGGTGGGGGGCTGAGGAGTGGAGTGAGGAGGGGGTGAGAGGGAGGGAGGGAGGAGGGGGTTGAGGAATGGAGTGAGGAGGGGGTGAGAGGGAGGGAAGGAGGAGGGGGTTGAGGAATGGAATGAGGAGGGGGTGAGAGGGAGGGAGGAGGGGGTTGAGGAATGGAGTGAGGAGGGGTTGAGGAGTGGAGTGGGGAGGGGGTGAGAGGGAGGGAGGAGGGGGTTGAGGAATGGAGTGAGGAGGGGGTGAGAGTGAGGAGGGGGTTGAGGAGTGGAGTGGGGAGGGGGTGAGAGGGAGGGAGGGAGGAGGGGGTGAGAGTGAGGAGGGGATTGAGGAGTGGAGTGAGGAGGGGGTGAGAGTGAGGAGGGGATTGAGGAGTAGAGTGAGGAAGCGGTGAGAGTGAGGGAGGAGGGGGTTGAGGAGTGGAGTGAGGAGGGGGTGAGAGTGAGGGGTTGAGGAGGAGGAGGAGGAGGAGGGGAGTGAGGAACGAGGTTGAGGAGGAGGAGGGAGAGTGAGGGTGAAGAGGGGAGAGTGAGGGTGGAGGAGTGAAGGGTTGAGGGTGAAGGTGGGAGAGAGGGTGAGGGGAGAGAGAGAGAGAGAGAGAGTGAGGAGGGGGTGAGGGATGTGCGGAGGATTGAGAGTGAGGGGTTGAGACACTCTCCTTCCTGTTTGCGCAGCCACCAACCAACCGCCTCTGGAGTAACGTCTGGTTATTCCTCATTTCCCCGCAGATGTGCCCCTTCTCTATGTTGCCGTTAATCTTCTTGCATTTGCACCGATTCCGTGATGTTTCATCGGAAACGAGTGTGAAGCAATAGTGATTTTTTTAAAAGAAAAAAAAATTTTTTTTTTGCACTGACGCAGCCGCGAAGGGTACGACAGTTTTGGGGGGTTCATCGGCTGATTGGCGCGAGCCTGGCTCCGTGGGTCGCGCTCTTGCCTCTTGAGTTAGAAAAGTTGTGGTTTCGTGCCGTGCGGCAAACATTAAAGCCGTGTTCACATTGGCTGCAACGTTTGCTTAACCAAATACACAGTCACTACGCTTCAGTGGATCTTGAAAGGCTTTGAGCTGCTCTCCCGGTACGAAAGGCGCAAAATCAAATGCACCGGTCGATAGTGTTGTTAATAATATTCTCACGGCATCTTTCACATTCACTTAAGAAGGCAAATGAGACCTCGGTTTAACGTCGCGCCTGAATTATACCATCGCTTGAGTGTGCGGTGGTCTCTCTCTCCTCTCTCTCTTTCCTCGCACCCCGTTAAGAGTATCAACCAAGTGTGTTGGCTGAATGTCCCCGACCTGAGCTTTGAACTCCGCTTCAAACCAGGTCATGAGCAAAATTTTAGAAACCTTGGACGTCGGTTTAAAAACAAAATCTTCTCATGACTTTGAACCTTACCAGTGGTTCTTTGAAGCATTCTCTTCAGATGTCTGGGAGCAATCTGAAGGCAAGTTGTACTGTAGGGATCGACACCGGGTGTTTGGGGAATTGTTTCTGTGTATTGAAATATAAAAAATAGAGGGTTTTTGTAAAGTTGTAGACTGGCACTGAATCAAACGCCTTTTGAAAGTTTATGTATATAACATACGCTGTGTTCTTTTTATCTGTATGAATGCTTGAAATTACAGCACGGAAGGAGGTCATTTGGCTCCTGTATTTGCTAACTACTATACTTGAATACATATTCCATTCCTGTCCCTATATTGGTTGGTTCCTCCCAACTATTGGTCAAGCATGATCTGCTGTTTGCCAATATATTTTGACATTCTTCATTTCATCCTTAAGTGTCCACTATTGTTCCTTTTTCATTAGCGCTGAGAATAGTTCAAGGGTGACTGAGTGAATCGATGTCTTCAAGGTAAATAGTAATAGGTTTATGACATTGCACTGGGAACATGTCTGCCTGAAATACTGTCACTTCCACTGTAGCAAACACAGAATTCACTTTTATTCTTTCAGCTCAGGTGACCTCTACATCTCATATATTTTGTTTCCTTAACCTACATCTAATGTGAATCCTTAGATGATGATATTGGTGTACAAGGGGAATGGCAACAATGGTTATCATTTGGTTCGATATTGCTTGTGGGTTTAGATCTGCACTTTATACTGCTGATTTATGGAAATTTCAGATGTCTCAGTGATTGATGTTTTTGTGCATTGTGGTATTGCACAAGTGTTTAGCCTTTTTAAAAACTTGTGCAATACCACAATGCACAAAAATGGGAATACATGTTCCCGTTAATCCTACGCTTTGAATGTCAAGGTTATATCAGGAACGTTAGCCACACAGTAAACATTTGGAGTCCTTCCCAAAAATGGCTTCACAAGGAATGTCATGAGACTTCTCGGCCTCCACCTTGCTGTAACCTTGTGTTCTCAATCCCTCCCCCTTGCATCCTTTATAAAGAGTGAATACCACGGATTTTGGAGAGTGTCCAGCAGCAAATTAAAAGAAAAAACTTGGCCTTTGAACATTGCATGTTTGAAATTATTAGTTTCTTCCATTCTGCTGTCAGAGTTTTAGATTTCCCACTGTTAAACTTTCTCCTCAAATGGTTTGTCCTGGACCTCCTTTCCCTGCCCTTTTAAAAACCTGTGTCTTTATTTAACTTTCTCAAGTTCCAACTTCCTCCCACTCAACTTGCTGGTCCTAATGGTCGTTGGCAAGCTCTTCCCAGTGGATAAGGCAGTATAAAGGCATGTTGTTTGTGCCGCAGACTGTTAAATCCAGGGATTTGAAATCTATCCCAACCAGATTCCACGGTGACTCAAAGGCCTTGAAATTTAAGAAGCCAAAGCAATGGCAGCATTATTACAGGGATTACTGCCTGTCCTGTGTTAGCCTCAAGTAGGGAGTGTGAATGTTGCATTTACTAATTATTCCAGTAAGGATTCTTCAAAACAACACCAAGGCTTCCAGACAGTGCCTCAGTTCCCAGGTGTTCCTATTTTTGCTTCGTCCGGCTCAGCAAGCCAGTTTGCTCCGTTGATGTTGGTGTTGATGCTGTCTGTGCCTCACCTAATCAGTTATTTCCACATTCAGGTTGTGCAGAATAGATCTGATCGCTGGCAGGGAAGTTTTGCACCCCTATGTACATATGCATCAATTCACCTGCCGTGAAACAAATTCTGTAAACCTCCTGTAATTGGGTGATCCTTTCTCTCATGTCCTCATCCTCTATCCACCCTCCCTACCCCTTCCAGTGTCTTTCGAGACATCATGTTGAAGTGAATACATGTCCCGGAGAGATACATGGCTGACACTGGAAAACATTCTTTCACTGACTGCTTTGGGCTCCCCAGATTTTATCCCAACAATATTCCTCCGACATGCCAAGGTATGTCCCAGTCTCTTACTTTCCTGTATATACAACCACAATTTATTTATATAGTGCAACTTTTGCATTGGGAGGGTGGCTCTAAATTGCTTCATATAAACTAACATTATTTGAATGCCCTCCTCACTGTAACTGTTCCTAGTTCCACTATTCGTAAAATCAAATTAGTTCAAAACTCTTTCAACCGTACCCTCACCGGCACCAATCTCTCTACCTCATCACCCTAGTCCTTCTCAGGCTCCACTGGCCTCCCATTGTGGAATGGATTCATTTTAAGATTCTCACACTCACGAATAAATCACTTCATGCCCTGGTATCTCCCTACCTCTCCAGCCTGCTTACACCTCACCGCACTGAACTTCCTTCTTCGCTCAGTCGGCGCCGAACTCCTTCATGTCTCTCGCCCTCCTCCTCTACCATTGACGGCCGTGCTTTCAGCCACGAAAAGATAGAAGTTTCAATCTCTCTGCCTTGTTCCTCTTTGGCTGTCTTTAGATCACACCTGGAGACCGTATCTATGGTGGGGGGAGGGAGGGGGCGAGTGCGCGGGGGGAAGGGAAAGGGGAGCATGGGACAGGGGAGAGGCAGTGGTGGGGAGTGGGGATGGAGGGAGAGATGGTGTGGGGGGTAGAGAGAGAGAGAGAGAAAAATTCCGGTTTTCCCCAGTAAGAAACTCCTCTATGCCCTTCAACCCCTTCCCCACCCTACCTCTGTGATCTCCCTACAAGGCCATTCCCTTTGCCAAGCAAACATCGGCTTGTTTCATGTTCTCCCACCTTATCTGCACCACTGGCGCCATTTTACCACCGCACTCCGGAGCTCCATTCCCTGAGTCTCTCCGACTCGCTCCCTCCCTCCCCTCTTTCAAGGCATGTCAAGATCTAACCCTTCGACTGCGCTTTCGGTCATCTTTTTCCTTCCCCATCCCACCTCCCTCAGTGTTTCACCTCCCACCCCCAGCTCAGATGCCAAGCCGATAGGGTTGAGCACCTCTGACGTCAGAAAGGTGCTGTGTAAATATTATGTTATGTTTCTGGAAGAGAAATTCAAAAATATTGCTTGTGTAGCCCGCGGATGTTTCTCAAATAGGACATCCAGCCCTCAGCTCGTGGACCACCCTGATGCATGTGATTGGTAGATGCTTTTCTAGAGGTCGCAAGGGTATATCTTTTGCAAATGGATTAGGGCTGTATACGGTAGAATCGTGTTGTAGCTTCTGTTATGATCGTCTGTTGCTGTGCAATGGCTCAGTGGGTTTTGGCTGTTGTGCAAGACTTCAATAGGGCAATCCTATCAGTGCCTCTGTTGCAAAACCAATAAACATTAAAACCTTGAAGAGGTGCCGAGGGAATAAGCCGTGCAATAATGAACTGGCAGTGGTCTTGTGGCTGCCTCTGTTGAACTATTAGACATTTAAATGAGAGAAATTACATTTCAGCAGCGTGGTATCTTGAGATAATGGCTAAGGGAAAATT